ACTCGAACAGCAATTTCTGTGTCGGTACTAGCAGTTGAAGTTGACGCCTCTGGTTCGATTGTTTCCTCGTGTAACTTTTGCAGCAACCGTTTGTGTGTGTATTTCTGGTAACACTTTCGATGGTATCCATAGCAAGAGGAAGGATGGTTTTCTCCAAAAGAATCCAGAATAGAAATGACGCCATCATCATTTCGCAACTGTGCTGCCTTATAGACCACCTCACGAGATGTTTTGCTGAATTTTGTTATGCATTCATCGTTGTCATGCTTACAATTAAGAATGCACATAAACTTTTTTTTCTTTTTAGGCGGTGTCAAATTTATTTTAACCTCAAGAGGTTGCAACCTTCTAACTTTTTTGGACATAATTTTAGAAATTTTTCAAATTTCAAATGATTTTACAACAATTTTTGTTAATTTGATAGCTGAATATGCCACATGTGGAAAGTAAGTAATTTTCCGCATTTAACATGCTTATTTGAAGTTTCTGCACGAACCACTGGCCAAAACAACGCGGGCTCATTTCTTCAAAGAAATATTTGTAAACAAAATGGCGGCATTTGAATGCGATATGGCTGACATAAAACAGTGTTGACTACCTCACACAAGAAAAAGTGAAGAAAACAACATTTGAAACCAACATTATCAGGCTTGGTACTACACATCTATCATAAAATAAATTTGCCCCTCGAAAAAGTAAGTGAACACTTATTTTTTGCCCGCCACCTCCCTGACTATTACCTGTATTTAGAGATCAGATAAGTGAAAGAAACGTACACCATCTTTATTACCTGTATCTAGCAATATCGATCATCTGTTTATTACTGGCAATCATGTACGGAGCATATCCTTCTCGACTTGCAAGTTTACCACGGAGTTTTAGTAAGTCAGCATATAGAGCACCCTGAAAATTAAATTGCAATATTAGTATAGGTAATAGTATGGTTTCAGGTGCGATTCGGAAAAAACATGTACGAGTGAATTTCTCAAAGACTATCAAAATTTGAAGACTTTGAAAACTTACGAGTGTATGTTTTTTCAAATTGCACGAAAAACCATAATACTATTATTTATTAAAATATACATGAAAAAAATTATGTGGTCACAGTTAGAAATTTGAAAAATTAAGAAATTTGCAGTATATCTCTTTTTTGCACTGTGTTTCATTTTTTGCACTATATTTCAAGTATTAGTATTTGATCAACAGTGAACACAGGCTCGCGTTTACGATAACGTTTATTATATTTTTTGTACAACACGCCAAAAATAGTTGAAAGATTATTGCTTTTAACTAGTGTATAAAAATCAATTTCCGAAATATGTACTGTAGGTATGTTGTTTTGCATTTCGTCAGCTTCGATTTAATGTAAGATTTAAATTAACCTGCCGAAATATGAAACGAACAAAACGAAACTCGGCAAAATCCGCGCGGAAATGTATAGTTTTTCTGAGTTTTTAGACTTTCCGAAAAGAGATCAGAGACAATTTTATACAATTTATGTAGAATAATCTTAGATACAGTTGTTAATGGAGTCCAAACATCCAGAAACATACTTTAATAAGTTAAAATTAAGGATTAAATTAGTACAAATACATCGTGAAAAATTTTGTGTATTTATTTTCGTATACATACCTGCGAACAGGCTATACTTGAGCGCACGAAATTTGGCTTCACCCAAACATAGGCCTTTATCATAGGAGTTATCTTTCCTGTTTACTTATAGTTTAATGTGGTCCACCCATGAACCATAGTCACGCGCCCGCGATTATTGACCTTTAGACTTCGCTTAATGCTTTCCTTTCCCCGGGTGTAAATAGCCGAGCGGAATTAGTACCCTCGCACGGACTTACGCCCGGAACGTGGCTCGGGGATAAGACCAATTATTCCCTCTTTGATTAGCGTGTCGTTTGATCTAGGCATTACCTCGAGCTCGGACTCTCGTTTCGAGATTGGTTCTTCCGTTTTTTCAACTGAGGGAATTTGAAGCAGCGGACGTCGTGTACTCCATAAGCCTGGAGCGACCCTCTGTGGGGTAAGCGCCGAAACATTCACAGTTACAACATGTTTGACTGAAGTGTCTTTTTCTTGATCTAACATGTCCTGTAAGAAAGATTAAGATAGAGAGGTTCAGATTTTCACTCCCACTACCGCGACCATTAACCAATGAGATGCACTTAACCTACTCGATTATAACCACTCAAATACCTATTAAGCCTGCGAGATGTAGCGGTGTGGTTCTCAAATCTAAACCTCACTAATGAACGACAGAGAAAATCCTTAAAAATAATTGACACTTTTCGCGACAGGCAAATGCACAGAAAATGGCTATGTTAGACTAAATTTTAATCTAAATAAAGAGCTACAGCTCACAAGAAAACACCACAGCTAAAAAGAACATAACAAAATTAGTAAAATTGCAAACTTTGGTTGCGAAATGTTGTAGAGCTTGGAAAATATAGCCTTGCGAAGTTTGCAAATTTTGTATTTGTTTGTATTACGAGCGGAAATTGAACTTGTCACATAAAAACTTGTCATATAAAAACTTGTCATAGAAAACTTGCTCGTCTGTAACCGGTTTAAGATTTTAAAATGCATAAGCGCTAAACATGAGTGAAAAAGGAAGATGTAGTTCGCTGTACCTGGCTTGGTTCCAACTTCAAACTACAATCATCATTATTTGATGTGTTGAACCACTTGTGCGCCTTGGCTAGACAAGAAACAACGTTTCATATAAATTTCTCTATAAAATTCTGAGTGATGGTTTTTAACAATTAATTCAATGAACGTCTTTATCTGGCAGAAAACGTGACATAATAAAGATATTACGAAATGAAGGTAAGTGAGGGTACGATCCTTTTTTGCATCTGAGTGCTGAATTGCAATGGGTGCATGCAGGTCAAACGTCGTCGCTTCGAATGCTTATACTTACTCTGGTTGTCATAATATTATCGAAGTTAATCACAGAGCATGGCCAGGGTAAAAAGGTTAGTTTTTGCTGCGGAACGACAACCGGAGGACACGGCAACAGCTCTGAGGATGGATAATGATTATATTCATCGGTGAATGCTAAAATCGTTCAGATTAATACGGAGCTTTAGATAGCGAGAGATGGCGACAGCCGTACATGTTTGAAATCACAAACGTGAAACTACATCGTCTGCCGATTTCAAACAAGAACTACAGGTACTGAGGCGATCACTTGCCATCTACACACTGTACGACAGTCGAATGACTTCCAGTTGGAAACAACATTGTTTCCTAGCTATTTTTTGGTCTAGCGATATTCGTATCATATGTAGAATTGTTGTATAGACTCGCAAGTGATTTCGAACTCAAAATGAAGTATTATTCAACGCTTTTTTTTCATTAGAAGCCTTTCAGAAATAGCTTATTTACAAAAAAAAGCCCGGTCAATTTTTGTTTTGTTTTGATCGCACGGTTGCGTGGGATAGTCCACGTACTGGTTCCGCGAACATTTCGCATGCTACTGTAGGGAGCCTCCTTAAGGGAGGTCTACTGTATATAGTTTAGGGACCGGTCATTATTTATGGTGGGGGGTGGCACCGAAGAGAAATGTTTTTCGTAGCAAACATTTTGCTGACCCAACCATTAAAAAGTAAAAAATTTGATTACCCAACCTCAAATATCAAGTAAAAAATAAATGCCCACCCCTGGCCAAAATTAAACTTTACAAAAGATTACCATTCAGTTGTCACATATGTCCTTTACCCGATTTCTGTGACACTGAGGAGTTTGATAACTGCTTGTGAAATTTGCTGCAGTCTAATGTATCATGTTGTCTGCACATGTGCTTTCTTTGAAGACACCATTTGTCTTCTAACAAATTGGAAAATGATCAAGACAGTGACTGAGGCCTGTTTCATACGTCGAATTTAATTCAGACGAATTTAATTCGTTATTAAATTCGTCAATTGGTCGACACTAAAATGGTTTCGTTTCAAACGACGAATTTAATTCAGACGAATTCATTTCATGTCTAGCGATCATGGATTACCCAGAAGTAAAAACCACGAGACCAGAAAGAGAGAAACAGACTTTAACATAATTTATGCATTTAATTCGACACGACGATAACACGTCGTATGAAACGAAGACGCCCTACAGACGTTGTATCCGTCTGCCCATGACGGATACAACGTCTTGGACGAATTTAATTCATCAGACGGATTTAATTCGTTTCATACGACGCACTAACGTCGCATTTAATTGGTTCAATTAAATTCGTCTGAATTAAATTCGACGATAGTGCGACGTATGAAACGGGCCTGATTGATTCACATATTGTGTTGACATATGACTATAACTTTTTATTACCCAACCCTTGAGTTGTTTTGTTTTCCATTTACCCAACCTTTTACTTACTCAAAATTTAGTTTACCCAACCATTTTCTCTTCGGTGCCACCCCCCACCATAAATAATGACCGGTCCCTTAGCTGTTGTAAATATTCATTACCTGTCATAGCTGTGGTAGCGCCCCATCCATTGTCGACTGCTTTCTCACAGAGATAGTTCTCACATGTTAACTGGCGTGCTACAGTAGATAAAACATGTCAAAAATTATACATCAATTCTGTAGTGAACAATAGAGGAGTGTGCGTGTTAGAAGCGCTTGAATTGGGTTTCATATATTTTTGCATACTAAGTAGCATGTAATAGAAGAGTTACAAGCGCCAGTACTTGTAACTATTTAGCACTTTCTTCATTCATTTGTATGAAGCTTTAATACAGGACTCCAAATATGACCCAATCGGAAATTTGACTCGGCGTACAGCTGATTAATTATTCATTATTTATTTTCAACGACGAAGGACTGATGCCTCTTATTTAAGCAAATTTCGGCGAAAAACGTTGTAGAATGAAATTTACAGCAACAAAAAGGTTACAATATCTTGGCAATCTTAATTCGCACTCCCAATATTTCAGGAGGTGTCCGCCCTTGCATGAATTATAGTAACTGTGCGTTTAATAACAATCACTGCAAACAATTTTGACTCAAAAAGTTGAATAATATAATGCACTTCGAGGGAAATTTTACAGTGAAGTTATTGATTTTGATAGTAAAGCTATAAATACGAAGGGAACTGCCTTACCAAAAGCTTTCCACCACTTCTCAGAGCGATATCTACGAGACAGAATAATGAGGAAACAATAAAATGAAATTGCAAATGAATTAATAATTCATGAAGTAAACACAAATATGAAACACTAAACGAAAGCGTCGAGTTTCTCACTTAATAATAAACAGTACATGCGAAAATTACTCGATTCTATTGTCTAAGAGGAGTGCAATTTTATCGAACTATTGTGTGGTGCAAAATACGTGACAAGCACTTAAACGAAAGTCATTTTGAATAACGTTTTGAGTTGAAAACCTATATTAGTTGTTGTGCCACTCAAACAAGTGAGAATTAAAGTGTTTTTCAATTTTTTCATGTAAATATTATTAATAAGTAATAGTATGGTTTCTTGTCTAATTTGGAAAAAACATAATTACACTCGTGAGTTTTTCAAAGACTTCAAATGCACGAATATCCCGTATACTAAACATTTGGATTCATTTACTGTATGGTCCCAGACAGCGAAGGTGGTAAAAAGCTCATTAATTTCACGACGCCTCGATTGTCATCGCATTTTCACTTACTTGCCACTGCCATATTCTTTATTTCGTTTTAAATACTGAGCAAGGCGCTGATTCGTCTAAAATATAAAAACAACAATGGGTGACCACGTGTGAACTACTGTATGACGACAAAAATAACGCATGTGTTAAATCATCAAAATTATAACTTATATAGGGATATGGCAATAGAGTGTGTATTTCTTATTTCAAAGGACTTATTGGGAAACGTTTTATAGCTTTTTCCAATCGGGTTTAGTTCATGAAACATTTGAAAAAATAGTGAAATTCATTCTGTAGAATTTGCATCACTAAAGCCATAGTATATCCATAATAAATATAAAATAACAGTAACTCCGAATAACATTTTGATCTTTAATCGACGTTTCGACTAGGTTGTAGTCATCCTCAGGATTAATAATAGTGTAAAATTACAGATGCAGCTATATAAAGCCAAGAAAGGCGGAGCTAAATGTCAATGAAATATGAGAAGTTCTTTGGAAGCTTTCGCACCGTAGTTGAAATAATATAATAGCTGCATCTGTAATTTTACACTTTTATTAATCCTGAGGATGACCACAAACTGGTTGAAACGTCGATTAAAAATGTTCGGAGTTACTGTTATTTTGTATTTTCTTAAAATAGTGAGTGGTTCCCGTAATTAGATACCTTGTGGCAAATCGTCACAAATATGTCACGTGGAGAGACTTTATATCTGATAAAGCACCTGGCATTATATAATTGTTCATCCTAATTAGTATGATATATAATTGTTCATCCTAATTAGTATGATATATAATTGTTCATCCTAATTAGTATGATTATATATTGGTTCATCCTAATTAGTATGATATATAATTGTTCATCCTAATTAGTATGATTATATAATGGTTAATTCTAATTAGTATGATTATATAATTGTTCATCCTAATTAGTATGATTATATAATTGTTCCTCCTAATTAGTATGATTATATAACTGTTCATCCTAATTAGTATTCTTTTGCAGTCGTATTTTAAGCTATTCAAAACACTCTCTGTCGTGTTTTATCAGATATAAAACGCTCGGCTGCGCCTCGTGTTTTATATCTGATAAAACATTCCTTACTCCTGCTCGTGTTTTAAATAGTACATACTATTTCCATGTACAGTATGAAATTTCAAAACTACTGTATTTTCAACTGAGATCCATACTATTTCTATACTAAAGATTTTGAAAAAAAAATAAAGTGAAATATATTTATAGAATTTTAACCTAAGTTCCATACTGCTATCCCAAAATGCCCTGTTAATTCCAGGGAATTAACTTAACTCTAGTGGAGGTATTCTGATCTCCAAATGTGAAGTGAAATTAGGTTCCAAATAACTCCATTGCAGTTAAATCAACTCACTGAAATTAACAGTGTGACGTCACGATAATTAGGATTAAATTAATCCCTCAATTTTTATCTAATAATCTCAAACAGTGATCTTTTTTCGTGTTCATGGCTATCTTCAAAGATTGAAACTTACCGAGCCTCGTAGTAACATGATAGGTGTACCAATCCCATATTTACCATCTCCAGTAATCTAAACATAAGATTCAGGTTATACTATTGATTATAGACTCGTCATGTACTTCCCCCGTATTTTCCCGTATTTTCTGGCACTATTTCCCCCGACCTTTACAAAATAAATGCATTGCTGCTCACGTCGAGTTACTAAACTAGTACAACCTCGTACCCAGGCTCTTTAGTAATCAATAGCGTTCAGAGCTCTGGGTGAACTAGGCGCGCGGTGCTGCAACCTCTCCAAGATTCCCCGCGCGCCTAAAAGCTCACCCAGAGCTCAGAACGCCATTAATTCCTAAAGAGCCTGGGTACGAGGCTGAAACTAGTATTGATGCATTCTCCTACCCAGAGCCCTTCTTACGCGCGGTCAACCGAGTGCGACGAGGGGCTCTGGCCAAATCCATAACCGGATACCATAAAAACATGGTATCCGGTTAAACACTGCGCATGCTCAACGTCAATCGCGGATAAACACTTCGGTTTTCTTGTTTGTTTCGTTTTGAAAGTTTTTCTCCAGGAAAACCACACAAAAGCGGTAGGTTTCGCTAATTTTACTTATATAAATCAATTAGTAGGTAAGACGTGATGTTCTCAATGCATGTTGATAAAAATTTAGTATATATTTCTCTCTTAAACGTTGCCAAAGCAGTAATGGCTACGGATACGAAGACGAGAGATTGTCTCACTATTTTATATTCGATTTTAAGTCGCTGTTGTACAGATTTTTAGACTTTTTTGTGTTTTATTAAAAGTCAACAGTCATACATAAGACATACTATACTGCAAATCATTTGAAAATTGTAAAAAATCGGTTTCTAGGAAGAAAATAGTCATCACAATTATTTAAACTTCATATTCTGGCTGGCTTTAATATTTTCTCTTCAGATGGCACTTCAGTTTTGAACATGTAACACAGATTTGTTTGATTAACATCACTGATTTGGAAATACGACGATCGTCTGCCATAAATATGCTGACTTTTTGCTATGAGAACATCACGTCTCAACCTATTAATTTCAATCAACTAATTGATTTAAATAAATAAAATTAGCGACATCTACCGCTTTTGTGGGCGATTATCAACAACAATCTTCCTAACTGCTTCGTACTGCTGTTCTTTCAACTTTAATAATGTCTTTTCTCCCAATTTTCTCCAAAACGAAACCAACGCTTCATGGAGCGCTTGATTTTTATTCATATTTTATACAATAAACCATATATTTCGTTGTGGCCAATCAGAAGCCAGTTTGATATGGATTTGGCCAGAGCCCCTCGTCGGGCTCGGTCGAACGCGCGTAAGAAGGGCTCTGGGTACGAGAATGGTATTGATGTCCTTAATCAATATTAATACAGGGTTCGTACATGTGAGGAAGAGTCAAATTCAAGGACTTTTCAAGGACATTCAAGGCCATGTATCAGCAAATTCAAGCACTACAGTAAGTACTGAAGAAAATGAGTTAGAAATCAGATAAGAACATGCAAAATCAATTCAACAAAACGTCCGTTTTGAACGTTAAACAATTTCAGAAAATATAAAAAAACAAACCAAAAGAAACAAAAATTTAAGGATTTTCAAGCACTTTTTTACAAATTCAAGGACATTCAAGTTCAAGGCCTTGAATTGTTGTTTCAATTCAAGGACATTCAAGGACTTTCAAGTTTTGTACGAACCCTGTTAATAAATGGCTAATCAATATGATAGTGGTTATCGAAGTGTTCCCAGGGTATATAAATGTAATAGAAAGACTAGGTTGATCAGGACATACATGCACCGTTGAGTCGTGCGATTCAGAGCAGGGCTGCAGGTTTGATTCCTGCCAAAGGGCCTATAGTTGCATTTTTCGTAACTGCTCCTGGTCTAATAAATGTATGAAATTCACACTCCAAATTTACATCTACAATATCCTTTTACAATTATATAGTTCTATCGAGCCCAAAATCCTGATAAAGAATTAGTATATATTTTTTCGGTGTTGGTGTACTCAGGTGAATATGTGAGACGTATAACGTTGTTGTTATGGCCAAACCAAGAATAAGGGATTACTTTTATACGTAGAGTAGAAAAACTAGAAATCCCCCAAATTTGCGAATAATATAAAACTATACTAATTCTTGTTTGTAATGTTACTCTGAGTGTATATCCACACCGGGCAAGCTTGAAAAATACGCCTGGCCACGGTGGGAATCGAACTTACGACCTTTAGAATACTAGCCCAATG